GGGCTGGAATCAACACTGAAACTAATTCACGGATTATCATGGCCTTCTTCCTATTATACCCCATTGATCCTAGAACTGAAGCTATGCCGCTCAATATTATTATTCGATCCACAACAACAATATTTTCAGACGATGAATACACAGGAAATGCTCTTAGTATGGTTTTGAGAATTTCCCCTCGGGTGGGCTGTATGTTCAAACGAGGCGTTGCGAGATTGGGGGCTTTTTGAAAGGGGGTTCCGAGAACAACTAGTTGTAAAACTTCGTCATTTAATTGACCACCGCCTGTGTGTATAGCTGAAGAAAGTTTTGCATAGCGAATGACAGTTTCGGAAAATGGATGTTGTGGCATAGCCTCCCCATTATTATTCGCAGCACGAGTATAGAGATTTAAGATTCTATCCAACAGCTCTGGAAGCAAAACAGCCAGATTCTGTAGCGAGACTAAACGGTTGCTTGCGGGACTTCTTGGCTCCAGAGCTGACGTTAGGGACGGAGCTCTTTCTGTGGATACATAACAGATTTGTGGAATTTGAAAGTCCAAACCAGTCCAGGCGAGCATGAGCATACTCACAAGAATGTTATCGAGTGCTTTTGCATGCCATAAATGATCAAGATTTGCTTTCGCAATAGCGGCACTTTCGACAAGCTCGCGTAATGCATCACTCCACCGCCCTGCGCACATATACATCGAACCAATGACAATGCCAACACGACTTTTCCCTTTGTTTCTTGACCTTTCACTGGTGCTTCCTGATCCGAATCCTATAATTGACACCCTGTCCCTGCTACTATCTCTGGCCGCTTTACTACTCGGAGTGCCGAGTCGAGAAGGTAAATTTTTCGTTGTAAGCCCAGTATCCCCAATTATATTATCAAAGGTTGGTGGCGAGTCAGAGCGGAGACCGGTTGCAGGACTTCCAGAGCGACCTAGTGGCGAAGATGTGCCAGAATCCGAGGGTGCCGATCGAATTACTGGCATCGACATTCGATAGTTTGCACGATCGACGGCGCTGGCGGGAGAAGAAGATCTGGAGTCTTGTTGAGGGGGTGCAAATTGAGAGTTCCGTCTTGAGGATCCATCGGGTGAGCCTCCGCCCCAAGATCCTCCATTGAACGGCCTATTTCCTGATTGGGCTGGTGACTCGATTGTAGGCAAGGCTTGGAGTGACCTTGCGAGTGTCGTCATCTCCGCAAGTAACAAGGCAGATATGTCGCACATAACAGTCTTCATTGTCGTTAAACCGCAATCAGCAGCTGGTGGTATGGCGACTAGGCCCTCTGGCAAGGCTGTAGCAGACTTCTCATGTATATGGTCGAACAATAATACTTGGTGGACAAGCGCCTTGGGGTATCTATCTCTCAAATCTTCCAAATCTTGGTATAAGTTCCGCACGTTTTGATCTAACCGCGATACCCCAGTGCCATTGAGACTCTTCCTCGAAACCCCTTTATAAGATGTATGCTCAAGCTCGGCACCATCCGCGAGTGCTATAATAACGAGCGGCTCTCTGTATAATTCAAAGGGAGATAGCGCGAGGTGGGTAGAGGGTGGATAATGTGTCGTGAGATCATAAACAATCATCCCCAAAGGAAAGGCCAATGGGGAGAACATATCTGCCAATTGTCAGCGCTGCCAAATGCGCATTAAGGAGAGTTTAATTCTCACTTCTATTGGGACGTCCATCTGGACTGATATCCCCCAAACGTACAACATTCTGAGGTTGCAACCTCTCTACGAAGCTCAGAAATCTTGCGCGTTTGATTTGCCCAATTGGTAACAGCACAACTCGTACTCTCGCAGGAGCAACGGGCGACAGCTGATCGAGCATTGTGAGAACATTTGGATGCGATGCGCCTAGCTAGGTAGAGCTCGAATTCGTGATATGATAATGTTACTACCGGCTTGAGCTGAGATTCATGACTGTTAGAAATAATAAATTAAATGTCCGGGAGTTTGTAGGACCAAGGAACGGTAAAATATGACGAATAATGAATTTGTGTTAAAGCTATATCTTTACATTGAGACGACGAGGATACCAGATCCCCTGTTATACGGTGACTATTTTGCATGATTGGTAAATGATTCAAGATCCCCCAGCAGCGGCACATCCCGAGGCTAGATTCTTGACTTCACTCTAAGTCACCCAACCTCATTACTTTGGATATCAGCACAGCGATTGTACATACGTATGTCAACATTTCGAAGTCCTATTAATGTTCAAGATTCATGATATCGCGAGTGGCCTGTTCACCTAGTCTTCAATCTCACTTGTGATGCAATTCAATTTACAGACAAGACGAGCTTCTTACCTCCTTAGGGCCTAATATCTGGTCTTCGTATGACTATATCACAGGAAACATTCTGAGTAGGTAGTGCAATGATATGATGAGTTTGAATGATTTACTTCAGATTTCACTACTATATGTGCACGCTACTGGACATGTTCCTCCTCTGTGAGTAGCTACTCGTGAAGTACTCGTTACGCTGAATATCGTACAAGTTGTTCTCTTCGGAGACGAGAACTTTTGCTTAAGATTATGCACGATATGACTTGTCCACCGCTCCTCCCTTCTCCATAATTATCTGATATCAACACATATTACAAGCAATCTAGCCGCCCCAGAAGATCCTTTAGCTAACGAAACCAATTTGATGCTTGTCACCCATACACACACATCCAACTACCACTTCTTTCGCTTCTTTGGAGATACTCTACTAGTAACCTTCAAAGAACATATCAGCTGTCAAATCGCGGTGATTTAACCCGGGGGGACTTACATTGGGATAGACGCAGTATGCATGAATTGCGCTGCAGGAAGAGCAACTAGGCAAGCTTCTGTCACACCCATGGTGCCGCTCATAACAATTGATACAAGCTCGAGGTGATGTTGCCGGCGTGCGCTGCTTTGGAGAAGATGCTGAATCATAGTCGCTTCCTCCCGAAGAGTATGGTTTATCGTCCTCGAGATTTTCCATAGGCGCCTCAAATGCATACTCTGTCGAAAGATTTCTGACTCTGCCTCTTGACTCGGCAAGTTGGTAAGAATCATTCTGCCAGTGACTTAGAAAAGATATCTGGTCGTTGACTGTCCTCTCTTTCAGCCGATCCGCAAGGCAATTGATACCATCAACGACTGGCGGAAGCTCTAGTTGTTTTGGGCGACGCCGTATCTTATCCGCAATGCGACTAGGGCGCGGTATGAATTCGTTACTTGATTCCACGTATTTTCGGATGATTCCTTCTTGTTGCGAGCGAACTCCATCCTCTTGAGCGATTTTCTTCATCATTTGTTTATTTCCAGGAACCCCATCTGCATACTGATGGGCAATCCAGCTTGCTTCCTCTCGAAGTAAGGCTTGTGAAGTCCATTTCGTCCTGAAATTGATACAGTCGCTAGCTTGAGCTTTTCTGTGAACTTCGCAGATGTCGTTTATGGTTCCGCTGTTGCTGAAGGTGACAAATGGAGCCTCTCTTATGCATCTGATCGCGCGATCCTCCTGAGCATTAATACCGATGAAGTTTGTGGAAGAAAGTATTCGAGCCTCATTTATACCATTTAAACTCCTAGCATCGATAGGTGTTGATTTTGTTCTACCCATAGTTATAATAGTAGCAAGTGCAAAGGAGGAGTTTTTGAGGGTTGTGAGGTCGGAGGAGTCCGAGTGGCTATTTCTCTGGTTGTTGTTTATACAACCTCCAAACTTAAAAGATTAATAACCGAAGCAATCACACCTTGAATCAATGAACTTTCTTTAGTGTCATCTGATTCGGCCAGTTACGAATTCAACATTTTTCGTCTTTGAAGATACTGTGTGTGCATTATTTGCTGTACTTCAAAGCAGTCTTCACAGTGTAACTTCATGCATTTTGGATTCTGAATACAGTCAGGCAGGTCGATATAATTCATAAAAGCTACACAAAGATGAGGATTGCTTCATATACGAAGCTTCATAGAGGAAGTCGCTGGGTATGTCAAGTACTTAGGTATCTGTCTATCTATTCGTTCACTGGCTATTGTATACTTTATACAGTTGTTTTGTAATACATGTTCAACTTCTCCATTGATCTTTACTGGGTTGTTTGCGCTGGCACATATGTGTATTCTATCAAAAACTTCTATCTCTACCAAGGCTACCGTTATCCAGGTACATACTAGGTTTCTTCAATCCCTGGAGCTCTGTTTGCTCAAAACTGGTGAGCTCATCCATTACTGTGCCCATAGAATAAAGAACAAATGGCTTGCAGCTTTATATTGCATTGAATGAAGTTGAAACTCATTCAGATCATCTTACAAAGAAAGAGCTTCACCAAAAAACAAGAAAGAAGATGCTAGGACTCCCGTAGTTGAACGACAATTTGCAATTCTCTTGTCTTTCAGTACATCAGGTCCACAAGACCAGAAACAACATTGGATTATATCACACCTATCATCTGAAACGAACTCGATAAATGTAACCATGTCCGTATTCCAATTAGAAGAATCAAATCATCAAGATCTATCTAATCATTGCTAGTGCGGAATGAAACCTTAATTGCTACCTTTACAGTGTATAGACTGATGTTATTTAACATGCAATAAAGCATATCGGTTTAGTCATATCAGTGTCAGGCACTATGTACGGCTACTTCTTCTTGTCAAGTGGCATGTGATGTTTAGAAACTTGGGAGATTAGCCAGGAATGGGCTGCGGACTCGATATGTTCGGATTGGATGGCAAGTATCGTCCGTGAAAGAAAATGCGCTGGCCAAGCTCATCTTGGGTCTAATCTATATAGAACAGATGATAGATCAATGAGATGAAGGATTTGTTATTGCTGAATCCTTTTGGAGCTGTTATTTCTCTCCAAATTTTGCTTGTAGGGAAGCAATCTTTGATTATGCATCGGAATGGCTTCAACTTTCCAATTCATTTTCTATCACAGTTCTTGCTGATTACAGATGAATGAAGTACTAAAGAACAAAACACTGGCACAAAATTCTCCATCCGAATCCTTCCTATATGGTAGGTTTCCCGTGCGACCAACGCCTATCATTGTATATCTCGGGACTCAAATAAGAGGTAATTTCCAAAGAGTCATTCTCAATTTTGCATGAAATGTACGCTTGTAGCCCAGTGGTAGCTTCAAGACAACGGTAAGTACACATTTTATCCAGCACACCCATGAAATCCCTTGCACTCTGGTCTTGTGAACCTCTGCGTTTGTTGAAGAATGTTTGGAGTCCTTTAGCAATAAAGAGATCATCCTTTGCGTAATGTTTTACCGGGAGATAGACCTTTGCAGTTACTTTAAAGCTACTGGGACGAACTTCAAAGTGATAGAGGATTCCCGAAGTGATATGCGCTTTGTAGGGAACATGCCCGGCTTGACCCTGATCAACACAAGTGAAAACCAGATTCCACAACATTCGAAGCTCTTCTAGACCGTTTGTAATTTTAGAATTATCCACAAAGATACTAATAATTCTCATGACGCTTGCCAGTCTTATATCTGGACACCTGGCATATATCTTCATACGTGACTTTTGGGGCGAAACGCAATCAAAGGCCATCATGAATGGGTCAAGTCCGTGTGACTTGCTCTTCAGATTTGAAGCTAGAACCAAGCCTTGGAGGGATGTCCATTCCAATTCCTAAGCGAAGCTGGCTAGAGACTCAAGAATAATAGCAGATTTAGTTTGAGATCTTTCCATTGCTCTTGCAAACGGCATCATGTACAGCTTGACAACACGCATCTTATCTCTCATTTCAAATGCCATGAAAAAACTTGAACGGGGTGGCTGCGGATCGAAACGGGATATAAAAAATTCAGAAATGACATCTTTTGAGGGAGTGAAGTCCTTAAGAAGACGGTGGAACCATTGTACCTTAATCTCCGGTACATCGACTTCAAGGCGGTTAACAAGATCAATAGTAGCTTTCTGATTCCATGGATCGCCAACTGTGCCAGATTGCTTGCTAATGGCTTCAATACTAAAGCGCACTCTTCTATCAACATCTCCTTGTGCATTCCTCCAGTTCCAGCTAAATTCAATGGGACTGAAATCATCACTCATGTAGCTTTTCCATCGAGGGGGCTGGTTTGCCTCTGTCGGAAATAGACCGAAATGGGAACGACACATGTGTGGTAGAACATCATGGCGAATGGAACTATTCCAGACAATAGAAGACTTATATAGATATCACAAGAACTACGATACACTCCAGAAATGCATTGCCAATGCAGAAACCCCGGTTTTCTCATATCCGCAAGCCTTGTTCTGGACAGCAGTCCAAGTACATTAGAGTAAGAACTTCGCAAGTTTGAATAGCATATGCTGCACCGCTAAGAAACCACAAACCAAATAAATTGTGGTATTATTCTTGGGATTAAATTGTGGCTTGTCTAGCGGCCGTAACTATGGCAGAGAAAGGGGGCTAGTATCGCGTAAGCTGCGAAAGTACGAAAGTACGAAAGTACATCCAAAGATACTCATCGTATCGTCTTCACCTCCGGAAGATCACAATGCAATCAAAGTACCATATCTTCAAAATCGAGATTGTTAGATGAAGAAACTGCATTATCTCGATGTCAAAATCACGCAGCTGCTTGAAAGAGCATCCAAAGTCTTCAGGAAAAGCCCATCTGTTGGTCAAAGACAGCTGAGATAAACCTAGTCAATTTCTCACATGCCATCCAAATGGAGTTTTCAGCTAACAACCAAGACTCTGGGCCAAAAGATCATTTCATGCAGGCGATGTTCGGTTAGCTATTGTCATTACACACAGCTGCTCATTGATCGCCCATCAAATCGTTCGCGTGGATATGTCGCACATCCCGAGAGCTTGGAGGTCGCATTGTTATTACCTGAACAGATTCTTTAGGGCGGAGGTGCTAGTGAGATAAATGATCATGCAATGTGGGATTGAGATTTACTTTTGCTCCAGCTCAAATATTCCACTACACCGCTCTTTTCCAATCAAAACAATCAAACTTTTTTTTTCTTCTTTTCCTGAAATAGAAAAAGGCTTTCACTTTTCGACAAATTTGCTTTTTCAAATTCCAATCTTTTTCTGTATGCGTTTTGAACTACGAGTACATTTCAATTTACACTAGACCACCTTTTTAAAGATCAGATCATAAAATATAAAACTTGCGATGATAACATTTAAATGTTTGAAAGTTCAGATGTTATCTTCATAACAGAGTTGTTCCATTTTCATATTTCATGGGAATTTAAGTTGACGATGTACCTTGTACCAAGAAGCTGATACTACTATATATTCCAACTCTTCTACTTCAAGGCTATGCATCAGTAGAGGAAAAGCTCATTTCATCAATCAATTACGTATTTTGATAAATATTAAACAAGTTTGATAGCATTGGCTGTTTTGTCAAAATCTAGTCTGCATTGTAACTTACATGCATAGAAATAGTAAAGCCATTCTCTTCATTGGTGTTTGATTTCGAATTAATACATTACATTATATCAGCGATGTAGAATGTAGAGGCTGACCATCGCAATCTTTATATGTATTGCTTTTCATCCAAAGGTGTTTAATCACGGAGCTTCTAAGTTCCCACTTAATGGCTAGCTTCATTATAGTATCGGCATACAATATCTTCTTCAACTCAGGTGGTCTGCGGTGACAAGTTTTGGATATCGTCCGGTGTATGCTTGGCTGCAGATATTCGCCTGTAGATACGTGGTATGAGAATTCCTCAAAATTCAAGCACAGCAAATAATTTCCTAGCCAGCTCCCAAGGAAAATGTTACCACTGCTTCACGATTGTGTGTCTAGTGAGGCAGCACTTTATCTGGGTGTGAAATGGTGACAGCATACATTTGTCTTTGAGCATCTAATTGTCAAGCTCTTACCATACATTAAAATTCTAGCAACAATAACCACCAAGAGCGAGGCCGTCAACAATGCAGCTGTGAATATCTGCAGAGAAATCCATCCATAAGATTCCAGAGCTCCTGCAGTTAGATTTACGACTAGTATGCCTGCAGATATTGGCATTAAGAGCATTCCTAGGCGGAAACTCAAAACGCCCGCATCTGGAGATAATGCAATACCGAGATTTGGATAGATCGACGTCAAAACCCCGGAAAAGAAGCCATAAGATATAGTGGATAAAATCATGCTAGCCGTGCTGTGAATAGTTATCCAGGTGAATGCTAAAATTCCACTTACGAGAACGCAAATTACGTCGATGTTAAATGGACCATAGGTGTCGGCGAAGTGGGTTGGGATCTATAATTTTATTAGAAACCAGGCATCGATAAGGATATATATAAATTGAAACGTACGATGCGTCCAAAGAAAGACCCGGCATTGAGTAAAGAGGAAAGATAAGGAACAAGGTCGCCTCCCACTATATTGGTGTCGAGAGCATATAATTGAACATAGAAAGGCGGGATGTAAGCGCCTATAAATACTAGAAAAAAAGAAGATACTAGTAACCAAGAACGGCGGTTCTTTCCCGGCTTTTGTATCAAATATCTTTCTGACTGCAGACGGAGGAGTCCGCACATGTATTCCGAGTACAGGAATTGTAGCGGCAAAAAGAATGATAAAACCAACGACGCAGATCGACCACCCAAAACCAATTCTTGGTTGCAAATGATTGAAGACTATTGGAAAGACCATGCCTCCTGCAAACTATATGTGTCAACGTTGGATATAGGGCCACTATATTTCTCACGCATACCTATCGCACTACCAGAAGCTGCAACTCCCAAAGCCGATGCTTGTTTCTTGTCAAAATAAGCTGGAAGCACAGCAATGCTGGAATAAATAAACCACTGCCTATGCCGAACATGACTCCTTGAGCCAGTATGAAATGCCAATATTCAGAGCTGATACTGGTCAACATCGTTGCCAGTACGCACAAGAAGCATCCTATCCAAACAAGATATCTCAAATATCCACGGTCAATGACTAGACCAGCAACTATGGAGAATCCGAAAAGAAAAAACGCTTGAATGGACCCAATCCAAGAGATCTGAGACGAAGTCCATGAGGGATAGTCAGTCTCGTAGTATGCTTGGAAATAATCTAAAGACTTCAGTAAAGATTTGTTAAATAGTGCAGTGCTCAAGAGTTACCAAATGAGCTCAGGAGACCTCAAGACAGGAATAATAGAGAAAATGAGCTTGCATATTGCACCCAAGCAACAAAGCCCCCATCGGGGGCCGGTGCATCAGTGGCTGATCTCGGTTCAACTAGCATTTTGATTCTGATTATGAAGTTTGAATAGAAAAGACAGTCGTGCAAATTCCTGAAATGTTAATGTGGCAGAAATATAGATCGTCTATCCGTCTACCTCAAGGCATCGTAAGTCTTATCGAGAATATTTGTTTGACTTGTAACTTCATCCTCGTACCGAAAGTAACTCTATTATTGCATTATTAAATGCAAATGCATTTCATCGTTTTGGAAACATGGAGAGTGCATTAACCACTTGTCATCCAACATTTAACGGACAGTATGCCTTGACTAGTCGGTACGTAGTAGCAGTGCTTACTATGAGTTTTTTGAGGTCTAATACGATTGGAGCGGTTAGCACATGGGCTGGTTCTAGCCTAGCATCAGAAAATGACACTGCGCGATTAGATTGTCGGAGCTGGAAACTATCCAATACCCCAGGATACCACATGTATACTTCTGCATCCAGATAGATTCGAGGCTTGAAATATGCTTGCTAGGTGTGGGTAACCATACCATAATTACCCATATGGATTAGCGGGAATCGTTCGAAAGATCATGCATGGATGATGGGCTGTAACAACTCTCTCTTTGGTGAAGGAGCATGTCAAGAAACGGTAAGTTTCGTGTGGACAAGTCTCTATGGTCAGTTGTACGAAAGATTTCTGGATGAGTACCGCGTCAACAAGCCAACGATAAATGTATTCCTTTGTGCCTTTGCTCCAAAATAATGGATGTAGAATGCTTCTTCTACGCAATCTGGTGCATGCACCCATCAAGGAGGTGAAATTCTAAGCGAAATTGGTCAGGCCACTGAGGCTGCGTGGAGGGATTTTCGAACGGCACCTTCCATTTCAGGAAATTCTCGGTACCGGTGCTGTGGTGCGGATGCAAGTATCGTTCTTCCTATTAGTACTACAGTATATTTCTTGACTGCGCGATGCAGCAATCAATATACTTGGCTCTTTAGATGACTTCGTGTGCACGCAATCTTAGTGGAGGCAGGGGTAAGAATGTTCATCTCGTAAAGCCAACTTCGAGTCTTTCTCCTCGCGATTGTAGCTTTCCTTTCAATAGAAGTTTAAAATCAGCTTACCGAATGAGCAGTGTGCATGAGTTGTTGGAATCGATGCCAAATAGTGGAGTCGGCATATTCCGATATATAAGTGTCTCTGATCTGGGGATCAATGAATTGAATTGTAATTCTTACGGCAAATACCTCCTGCTTCCTCCGTCAATGTAATCATGCAATGGATCAATGTTGATTGGTAAAGGTTCCTAAGAACTCTATATAATAAGGAAAATGTTCAATAACACTTGTTTTTCTTAGCATACAGGCCAGTATCGTTCTCCCAGAGTTACAGCAATCTGAGAGAAATTACAATTTACAACACATCACCGATAAATACCAACAAGCTACCTAGATGTCGCTACGATGGTGGTATCTTCGTATACTAACTATGCTTCCTACTGTTACCCACGTGTTTCGAGAATCCTTCCATCTGTACTTTCATTACTACATGACAACTCTTTCGACAGTTCAAGTTCTAAGAGAATACAATCGACGTATATGTATATAATATCATGAAAAGCTCTATAGCAACTAGAGAACATACGGCATCCGAGGTAATTTTCTAATCATTCACTAGACACTTAATTTCAATCTCTCAATCTCTCAAATCTCTCAAACCTCTCGATATCCACAATTTCAAAATCTTCAAAAAGTCAATCTCCATTCTAGATACCTAAATGGTAAACTTTTCCTTTGATTTACTTCCTACCTATACTATACTATATACATACATACATACATACACACATACGATGTAAAACCACATGTATGCATCTGCATCATCACATGACACCATCCCAAAGATCATCATGTCATATCATATTCCTTTTAACATCCATTCTCATTTCCTCCACCACTCTTCTATTTCACAACTTCTCTTCCCCCTACTCATCTATCTCCCACCACCCCTCACAACTCATCCTTCACCTTTCCCCCCTTCTCCGCCTCAAAAGCCCCCCCACTCAAATCCGGCATCCCCATAATCTTAACCACCAAACTCGTCCACCCGGTGAAGTGTTGAGTTCTCTGTCCCACTCCTGTTTCAGGATTATATTGTTCCCAGGCGAATCCTGTTTCTTGCCAACTATCATAGACCGTCTTGATAAGATTCAATCTAAGTTTCGTGTAGAGATCTTTAGATTTTTCTTGGTGGGGACCAGGGGTTTCTGCGTATTTCTAGGAAGGATTAGCATTTTCGGCTAGAGAATGATCCGAAAGGGGGAACTTACAAGTAGTTGAGACACGGCCAAGAAATTCATATTCATCCAAATAGGACCTCTCCAGTAATTTTCATCTGTTCCATAGAACGAATCTTTCTTACTCAAAGATCTGATACCATGTTCACTCCACAATTCCTCTTCATCACCCAACAAATTAAGAATGTGACCCAATTTATCACTATCTTTATCAATGAGACCTGTCAAGAAAGGGAAGAGCGAAACGTATCCCTTGTGACAAACCAATTGATGTTCTTCGTAATCATCAATTGTAGCGTCGCAATAACATTTTTCCTTTTCGCTCCAATGTAGATCATCAATGTTGTGGTGAATAGCTATTTCAATCGTAGCTAACTCGGCAACGTCATCTGCCATACCGAGGAGACCAGCAATGTTCTTGAGAGATTTAGTCATCATACCCATCCAGGACATCAAATCGACATGTAACTCTCCTGGATGAGGTGGTTGAGGACGAGGGTAATCATCGAGACCACTAGTAAGAATATGTTGTGGTGTTCGACCTCTCCATCTATAACCTTCCTTGGAACTAAATGCATCACGATCATAAGATTTCAAATCTCCGGCTTGAGTTTTACGGAACCAGTAGTAATGCTTCTTGAGCTTAGGATAAAGCTCATTGAGATATTGAAGACCAGCTTCTGGGTTCTTCAAATATGCCGAGTAGATTGAAGGTTCTTGAGTAAGTTGCTCCTTTGCTTCTGGCGAAGTACCATTGAGTGCACCAAGCTTGCTAATAAAAGCATCGATGATGAAAAATAGCGTGGGTGGATTGGCATAATGAGGGTATTGTGTTTGAAATTCAACAGGAACCTTGCTGCGAGCTTCAGCACCAAGAATTTGTTCTCTACCAATCCATCCATCTTCATCCATAAGATTGAACCAGCTTCTGACAACTTCGAGAGTAAGATCAATATCCCAGTCGGCAATCGGAAGAAGGTGGAATCCTTCATCCCAAAGGAATCCTCTAGGAAAGAATGGTCGAGATGGAACGGTAGTGAAAAGCTCAGATGGACCTTCCAGCTTTTCTTGTCTTCGTCCTCTTGCTGCTGCGGCTTCTTCCCAAAAACCCTCGTTACTCTCTTCATACTCCTCAGCATATGAACGATCAACAACCGAATCTCCATGGAAATACCCAAGACCACCAATCAAGTTTGAGAACATTTTACTTGAAAATCTTTGAAGACTCTCAATATCAAAAGGTGGTTGCAGATCAAACGTAGAGATAAATCTGTTGTAGAAGGATACACTGTTTTCGCCAATCAATCTCGAGATTTCTTGACTAGAAAGTTCCTTCTCCGCCGAGGCACTGTTGAAAATGATGTCGAATTCAAAATCTCCCTCAAAGACTTTTTGAACCAAGTGGAAGTTTCCTTCATCTGGTGCGTGTGAGACGGTATAGATCTGATATGGAGGAGGAGCATTATCTTCTCCATAAGTCCCCAGATATTCATCGATTTGCTCCTTCAACTTGCCGAACAAATGGGGTTTGGCAGCCCAAAGTAACTTCTCATCAAGTGTAAGAGAATGAACAAAAGTCCTATCCAATGGCTTCTCCTTGTAAGACGGATGATCCGAAGCAGGATGATAACCCCGACCAGGAGTAACCGTAATTTTATATTCGCCCAATCCATCCGAATCACCATTGAAATTGACTTCTCCCTCGAACCCCAAATCATCCTGCTCATTCGCAACCGTCAAACTTCCCAATCCTTCAAGAGAAGCGTAGAAAATCATCGTTGTCTTCAAATCTGCAGGCGACCCATCCCTAACTTTACCCCTCACTCTCGTTGCCCAGTTTCCGCCATGTTTACCCCCAGGGGACTTGACAAAGAAAGTGCTGATATCAATACCATTGCTCTCATCGTACATGGTTTGTTTTCCACCATTGCGAGCATCGAATTCCTCCCACCCATAACCTCTCATACCATCACCTTGCTCGCAAGTATGTCTAAAGTCTATAAATTATACAATTAGCCATGATTCCCCAATGTTCCTCCTCATCATTACAGCAACAACACCAACACCAACACCTCCATCCTCCAAACCTTCCATAAAACACAAAACTTACTATGTTGCACATCCACGAAATTATCCACCTTCGCCCACATCAAGCCTCCGGTAAAACTCTTAGGAATCCTCGGACGAACTCCAAAATACAAATTCGGTTTATAAGCACCCCATAGTAAACTACTATTCTGTTCCCTCGCAATTTCCGTCGTCACAATTCCCACATCTTGTTTCTCAGCCGCGTGGACAGAAGTGCCAAACAGCGAAAGTACTGCTACCAGAGCTGTTACTGGCCGCAATGTGACAGGCGTCATATTTTTCCCCAATTGAAGAAACAAAAAGTTAAGATCCAGAACTTGCAATCTGGATACTTAACTTATTATGAAGAAAGGAAAGAGGGTTTTATGAGAGAAATCATAGGACTTGATACCCAAAGAACACCGTTGCGAATTTGTGGATAGATTGCGTTGCGATCAGCCTGTGGCGCGAGGCTGCAGGGAAGGCTTCATGATTCCATATGGTTATTGGTCCAAATATTCAAAGCACGGATAGAGACGCGGGCCGAAAGTTACGGATAAATGAATTATGTTTCCGGTAATCGGGAAAGTGTTCCTGAGTATTTATCCTCTTGACTATCTAGGTATGGGGAGACGCTCAAAAAGTGCTGATAAACAAGGTTAATAAGTCCCCGGATATCATGTGGTCATGTATTATACCAATTTGCCAATCTTCAATCCACAAATCTACGAATTCATACAGTCTTCCCCTCTCTCAATATGTAACCCCTCATCTGGCCTGTTCGCCAATGACCTATTCTTACACTCCTTTGCTCCTCATCTAATCCCTACTCGGACTCAGAGGTCTATTAAATCCTCCAACCCGATTCATGTATTGACGATACTCTGTCTTCTTTTCCTTCCTTACAGCACTAACATTATTTCCTGCTACCTGTTTATTTTGTGTCGTTGCGAACCCCCCAAAACCCATCATTGCCTGCATGGCTGCCATTCCATCATCCTCAACCACAATATCATCGTCCTCTTCTTCCTCTTCCTCCTCCTCAATCTTCTTCTTATGCCGTGACGCCTTCTTGTTTCCACCATCAACATCCATGCGATCGTGATCTTGAGCTGTAGCTGTATTTGTATGACTAGCCCCAATACTGAAGCTTACCGGTTGTGGAGCGTCATCTATATATTCGCTATTTCGTGTCTTCTCGCTACCTCTATCTTCTTTATAATCTCGCTCATCATCGCGCCGCGGACTCCTAGATCTTGCTCGTTCATTTACTTTCTCTCCTGATGATCGCTCATTGTCTTGATGCGTGTTAGACAGTGTTCTGATCGCAAGGACAAATGTTCCATCCTGCTCTGGCTCAAGTGAAAACATACCTTTTCTCCCATTTCTATCCTCATCAATTCCTCGAGATTGTCGAGTCTCATCTTGGTCAATGTTAGATCTACCTCTCAATGCAAACACCGTCTGCGAGAGCGCATATGGCATAAGCTCACCTCTAGTCCTATCTGGCACGTCTCTTCGATGTCCATCTCTCTTATCCGACCTCTCGTCATTTCTTTCCCGATAATCCCTCTTCCTGTCACTACCTCGCCCATCCCGATATTCATCTCTCCTTCCACCGCGGTCTCGTTCCCTCTCTCGATCTCTGTACGAACTGCGTCTATGATCTCTCGAATCGCGCGGCGACCTGCTTCTATCTCTGTGACTGCGATCATGATTGCGATTTCTCTCATCGCGTCGATCTCCTCGATCATTTGTCTCATCTCGGTCTCGAGCAGAACCACGACTTTCGCTTTCCTCCCACATTTTGGTACTATCGGGTCGTTGTCTTCTTCTTGGTAAATCCGACATCTTGAATAAATCTTAAATTTTAATTCTGTCCCAAAAATTCCAATCCAATGCACGGAAATTATTGTTGTTTATGAAGTAAAATAAAATAATGTAAAAGCTGTACCATACACTTATTAGCAACTCGCGACGAAACCGTATCGCGCCGTATCAACTCGGATCAAATTTCAATTGGTTCCAAATCACATGATACCATCCCTCCAAACTTTATGTTGCACATCTGTTGGACCCTTTAACTTTCGCAATTGACGCCCGATTTTTAGTCCGAAAACAGAAATGGATTCCTCAACCTTTCCTGACACCCAAGTAAAAGTTTCGGGGATTTCGATCGTAAATTGATCTACTCCCAAATTTCAATCCTTTGAAAGCTTTCCTAACTTTTTTATGTATCCACGGAAGGCATTTCGCGAAAAAGATGCGACGATATAGAAATTAAGTGAATGTTTGTCCAAATAAAGGAAAGCGTTGTTGTCAATCAAGCCTCTGTCAAGGTCAATTGCGGTATGAGACCAAAGGTAAAGTGAATATCCACTACCTCTACATGTACGGTTTCTGTTGTTGGTTCTCATTTCATCTCATCACTCATTGCGATTGTTAATATGCGGTAACAAGCAATATAGACAGCAGTGAGGAGAGAAATAGAAAGCATGGTTTTAATACAGCAATTCACCGCTTCCCAGCCCATTCCCTCAACTCACTCTTTGATTCAAATACCCGAGTGATAACTGATAAACAAACGTATTATTCTAATTCTGATGGTTATTCCATTTACCCTACACCCAACCATAATACCATACCATACCAACGCTATGCTATTCAAAAACACCCATTCACCATATCCACCCACCCATCCATCTCTCTGAAAATTTCCTACTCCCCACTATCTCTACACTACATTGAAAATTCTAATCCCATCCATTCCCCTCCTCCAATCTAACTTCCCCCTCAAGGCCAACCAAAAACATTCAATACACCCGCAACATTCCACCTGATCCCCACCAACACAACCGTCAAAGTGATTAGATCCACCACTCCAAGCACCGCACCTGCCATCATGAACTTCGGGCTAAAGATGCGATACAACATAAGATGTCTTCTCAACCAACCTGCCCACATGGTAGTAGCCAATGCCATGACAGCATAGTAGAGAATATGCCATGCCAGAGCGGCGGTGACTGTTTTCAAGAGGCCCTTCTTCTTTGGTTGTTGTTTCCAGAAGACGATGAGGGGGACGGCAGTTGCAGCGAGCATTTGAGGACCGAATGAATTGAGAGCGACGAGTAATGGAGACCATGGGTAGCGGATTGTGTGGAGAGGAATAAAAGCGGATTCCCATTGGATAGAAGAGAGAGTAGCTTGGTGACCAGTTTTGAAGAAGTGGAAGGAGCCGAGGATGGCGAGCATGATTGGTCCAATAGGAGAATTGGTCAAAGAGTTGAGATCGAGGAATTCTACTAGGGAAAGAATTTGGAGAGACATGAGGGAAAGAACACCAAATCCCACAGGCTTTTGAACCATGAGTACTGCTAGAAGCACATTGGTCACGAGAAGGAAGTACCGAGCACCATGGGTATTGCCATAGCCAAGAATCATAACCCGTGTACCTTGTTGTTTAGGGGCTCCAGCGGGTAAAAGATCACCGATTGAAACGGTACCAATGGCAATACAAGGTGGTGCAAGATAGAACGCAACAGACCCAGCACCGACAACCATGGCAAGAACCGTCTGAGCAATTGGTACTCGCATAGCTTTCAAGGCTCCTTCATAGAAGTCAGGGAACCAATTTCCATCATCAGCGGCATCTAAAGTCCAGAAGATAGCAATGAGGAAGAGCCCGAATCTAAAAGCTCCATCAATCCAGACTGGCGCAAACCCTTCATAGGAAAGGCTAGTTGCATAGTAAGCTTTAATGAAAGCAGGTAAGGAGATTGCGAAAAAGAATGGAATGAGTAATTGCCAAGGAGCAGAAGTTGACGATGTGGCAGAGGCATAGTATGTAGATCTACAGTAAGGCATCTGTTCTTCTCTGCACAACTTAGAGTACGAAGCAACCCAAGCAAGACCCATAAACACAAGAGAGTGATACACTCCCAAAGTGCGACTGCGTACTTCCGATTGTCTAAGCGAAGAAACAACACCAGCGACTCCGAAAGTTGTAATGAAAAACAACAAGATGGAGTCTTCCCAGATAGTATAGGAATTCGATGCAAAGCCAATAGACTGACTAATTGTGAAGACGGTTGCCATCCAACCCCAGAATGTTTTTGGGAAGGGATTACCAATATTCATCAATGACAGAAGAGCTCCAATGAGTCCACCGATGACAGCACCATTCAAACACAATACTATAACTTGTCCTTCAATGACATCTTCCAAAATGGTGGCTTTCATAGTCCAGAGAGCCAGTCCTACAGCAGCACCAACAGCAGAGGCCAGAGAAATCGACAAAAGCAAGTTTGGATTAATTTCCTCATCTCCAATATCTCTTTCGCCCTTTGCATAGGCTTCGAGTTCCAATTTGGCTTGAGCTTCGTCAAGATCTGCTGATTCAGGTTCATCGCCATCACTAGCATTACCATTGGCATACAATACCAAAGCTAATACGCTAGCAGCAAAAATGCAAATACCCAAAACCATACTAGGGACATCAAATCGTGCCCAGAGATCTCGACAAATTCGCAAAGTCTCTGTTTGATAGGCGGTAAATGCATGATAGACTTCAGTAGACTTTTGAGCTGATTTCGAACTCATAATTTTTTCGGCTGACGACCAAAGAGCAGATGGAGAACCATCAATGGTGCTCTCCTCGATACCTCTAGCATCAAAGTATGCAGCTTGGTATCTCTTGATACCAGCAGCTGTCATTCTAGCTACATTTGCCAAATTTTCCCAGGCATTGCCTTTCTTGCCTGCAAAAGCTTCTTCGATAGGCTTTCCAAGATTGTTGAAAGGAATTGGCAAGCCCAAAAGCAGTGCAAGTGTGGGTACCAAGTCGATTTGATTGACTGGTCGTGTCTTTGCGTTTTGTGGAGGCGATGCAAAAGCTGGATCTGTGCGACCAAATATTCCTTTCTTAGAATACATCCACAATGCAGCTTCAACTTCATCGTCGCTTTCTCCACCATGATCACCTTTACCATCCATGCCATGGTCGCCCATAATGACCAATAAAGTATCATCATCAAGCTTCTCGACGAGTCCTCGGATCATAATATCCATTTGCTGTAACTTGCTCGTCATAGCCGGATGATTTGGTCCATATCTGTGGCCTGCATGGTCCACACCCAAGTAGTGGGCAAACATAACGTCCCATTCAGCTTTCTTCTCTTTTGCGAGTAATGGCATGATATGTTCTGTAACCCCATTATCAACCGTGTGCAAATCCCAAACATTGAGAGAATCATATGCACGACTGATATTCGGTTCAAAGTATCCAGGAAACAGCGCAGTCCATGTATCATCACCCAAATGTACAATTTTCTTGCCAGCATCCTTCAATTGACTCAAAAGATTATCCTCTTCAATAGCGGTACCTGCAAAGTTCGAACCCGCATCCACAAATGTAGGGAGTGTTCCGGTTGTAAGCCCCTTTAATCTTTGCAATGTAGTTGTAGGTGGATCCGCGATAAAAGGCAATAAGAAAGCCTTGTTTGGTTCTCTGCGCGCAGTCTCGTACAAGAATGGTAATGCATTGTGAAAGGCCTGCGAGTCGTCACCAGCGAATGGTACCGTGAAATCGTAGCGTAACGCATCCACAATTACTACCACAGCCCTGTCGAACGTCTTTGGATGCCAACATCCTCCCTCCGGTGTACCAGCTCCTTTATAATCAACAGTTCTCGCAATTGGTGGTTCGGCGCAGGTAGATGATTCTTCCAAAACCAGTCGTGTGAGTAGGAAACCCTTTGTGAAGTAATAAATTCCCACGGCGTGCATAACTCTATTCATTAAATATATTAGCACAATGCCCCTCCACAGCTCGCCTCAAAAGAAACTTACGCCAGCCAAGCCCACCATCCTCCAACTGCCCACCACTCCCTTCTCCATTTGTCTCTCTTTGCTTCGTTCAACTCATCCTTCTTATCCTTCTTCCTGGGTACCTTTGGTACTTTAGGTTGTATTATATTCCCATCCTTATCCAGCTTCTTTCCCTCTCTAATCGCCTGTTCCTGAGCTTCCTTGCGCGCTTTCGCTCTCGCATACTGTGCTGCGAGCGAATCATAGGCGCCAGGTGCTGGCTTTGGATCTACAGTCTTCACCATTTTTGTTTGAGCTCGCAGCTCTTTGGTTCGTCCTTATTAAAATGATGAGATCTTAATTGGGATGGACACTCCCAGAAGATTTTAGGTTCTTGAATTATCAAATATAAAGATATATTCCTAAATAAAATATTATGAAGCCATCAATTGGATACCTATGTTTGTGTAGAAGAAAAAAAATTATTGAGGACAAATCATTCAATTGAAAGTAGAATAATGATGAATGATGTGCATAAAGCTTCAAGATGAGCTATTTTTTTCGAAGTGTTTCTCGGCTGCCGATTCGTTAGAGCTACTTCTAGCTCGGGAAATCCCCATACTTTCTTAAATCTACCTATGGGAAGCTTGTAAATCATTATGGCATATCTGTATCTAGGTGCTGACAAAACGGTATTTTTCTTCAATGCGGAGACAGATCTCGTTAATTGAAAAGATCAATTGTATTCATCATGCGAGAACGTCGAGGCAACGGTCACATACTCTCCAAGAAGTCAGAACGTTATCACTAACACCAGATAGAAATTCAAGATTATATCGCTAACAGATTCCCATGCCCCTTAAACTACAAGTGATGCTCTAAAAGCATTTGATCATTCTTCATCATGCTCCTTCCTTGTCCATTCATTCTTCATACCCATATACCTTCATGTTCCGCATTTCCTAACCTTACACATCTCACCAATCTATGCCAAACCCTTCGCACACGATAGGTTCCCTTAAAGAGCGAGGTTGTAGGAGTACTCA